ATGTGGCATTACCGAAACTGTAGGAGTACCATTCTCCATTACCCAGGGTCCTATATCTCCATATACCTGGGTCTCCATTAAATGGCACATACCCTATCACCTTTTGTGTCCATATGCCTCATTTTCACCCCTATTCAAATAGCATGATGCTAAAAATAGCCATCCAATCAAACAACTGTTGACAACGAGAGACATTCTGTGGTAAATTTGTCAAATGAGAGATGGAGGTAGTGACATCACTTCTGAGACAAAGCTAGGCTTTTGAATGGGTTCAGAGTATTTATCGTAATATATAGTACTCAACTTTTGACAGGGACATTTGTCCCAGTCCCTGCCTGGAGACCCGTGAAGATCCGGGGGATAATAGGTCTTCAGCAACCCATGCTTGCCGTAAAAGGCGACTATGCTTGTCGTAAGAGGCAACTAACAGGATTGGGTGGTCAGGCTCGCTGACTTGGTTGATGCATGTCATCAATCCCAATTGCGTGGATTGATGCTCATGATATCAATCACTGGATTGTCTGGTCCAGACTCGATTATTTACAGACCGCCGTCATATAGCTGTAATATTGCTGAGTGCAGCGTTAAACAACCAACCAACAACCAACCCTGCCTGGACACTCAGAATATCCCTATCAAAAGTTGAGTTGTATAGAATGGAGAATACACTGGATAATGGGTGAGGTGAAATGGGATTTAACATCGCGTCCAAAGATTATTGCATATAGTGACGTGCATGCATGTGTATGTGTGACTGCTTGTACTAATCTGGACTAATGCCAATTTTATAGTGTTAGCCCACTGAGATAACAGTCTCAGTTTAACATGAATACCCCACTCATACACAGTATGACACAACCGGGGATCGAACCTCGGACCTTCCACTCTCTGGGCGGACGCTCTTCCACTAGACCACAGAGGCTGTCCAATGGATCATAAAGGATGGAAGAGTTCCAGAGATTGTCTCCATTTTGAATATGTTTGGGAGATTTCAATGACAATTCAGTGCTTACTTTTGGATTTGGTTGTAAATTAAGTGCTTGAAAGTCCGTTAAATTCACCAGCATTCACTGTGAAGTGTTTGAATTTGAAGAAAAGGTTTTGTTTTGTTTGTTGTTAAAAAATACCGCACTCAGCAATATTGCAGCTATATTACGATGGTCTGAAAATAATTGTTTCCAGATAATCCAGTGTTTGACATCATGAGCATTGATCTATGCAATTGGGATATGATGACATGCATCAACCATGTCAGTTGTTCTGACCACCCAAGCCCATTGGTCACCTGTTACGACAAGCATATATTGATAAAGACCCAGAATCTTCACAGGACTTGAAGGAGAAGACCGCTCTTTATGTACTCAAGTAAAGTAGCAGAAGATGGCTGCCATCCAACTTTACGCCTCAGAGTTTATGTGTTTATCAGCTTAGGAAGAATTTGGCATTTTTCTGTGTATTTATTTCTGAGTCTGCATGTTGTAATGCAATAAGTCGTTCAGAAGCAGTCCTTGAAAGTTGGAAAGATTCCTTGAAAAGTGCAGGAATTTTAGATTTCAGTGTCTGGTAAAATGGTGAATATAATTTCAAATAATAATCATATGTAACAGCATGCCAATTACATGTGTACACTGTTATTGATGTGTCATCAAAATGTCAATAGTTAAATTAAATTAATTTCAACTGCTTAAATCAATATGGATCTCACAAAACATGCTATGCTTTATGAATCAGGTCCTATAGAATGGGGAGCACCTGTGTCATGCAATTCTCTGATGGTGTCCCAGCTGGTTGAGGTCTAGCCTTGCTCAAGGCTTTATTGAATGATAAATCCATGGATGTAGAGTAATTCTAGCCTTATAATCAGCAAGTCTAGATAAGGATGCCAGTTTATATTTTTGGACAACTTGATCTTTTTATATACATAATATAGGAATTATGATTCAAACAAATAATCATTTCCTTAGAGACTTGTGCAAGTCTAGAGAGGATGCAAATGATATCGGTCGCTCAGAGGTCAGCTGCTGCCCACCCAATTGTCAGTTAGTTATGTCACTACCCCTGGTTCAGTGTAACATTGTTTAGCAACACAGCTGCTATTGAGTGTAGAGGGAGTACATCAGGTACAACACTGAGCCAGTGTGGAACCTGTTGTTGTTCATCGTTAGTTGCGGTGTGGGAGTCAAGCTAATGTGTAGCTGGATTCGGTTGTGTGCTATAGCCAGTGGGAACCTGTTGTTGATTGTGAGTATGCAAGTCGGATGTGACGAATCAGATCTTATGACATCTTGAACCACTGGGAGTGTTTGACATGCCTGTGAGTTATTGTCCCAGGAGATATACATAGCCTTATAGTCACCAGTTTGTACTGATACTGCTCATAGTATATAGAATACTAGGATACTGCTGTTGACTGGAGTACAATAATGGGATACTGCTGTTGACTGGAGTACAATACTTGGATACTGCTGTTGACTGGAGTACAATACTTGGATACTGCTGTTGACTGGAGCACAATACTTGGATACTGCTGTTGGCTGGAGTACAATACTTGGATACTGTTGTTGACTGGAGTATAATACTTGGATACTACTGTTGACTGGAGTACAATACTTGGATACTGCTGTTGACTGGAGTACAATACTTGGATACTGCTGTTGACTGGAGTACAATACTTGGATACTACTGTTGACTGGAGTACAATACTTGGATACTGCTGTTGACTGGAGTACAATACTTGGATGCTGTTGTTGACTGGAGTATAATACTTGGATACTACTGTTGGCTGGAGTACAATACTTGGACACTACTGTTGACTGGAGCACAATACTTGAATACTGCTGTTGACTGGAGTACAATACTTGGATGCTGTTGTTGACTGGAGTATAATACTTGGATACTACTGTTGACTGGAGTACAATACTTGGACACTACTGTTGACTGGAGCACAATACTTGAATACTGCTGTTGACTGGAGTACAATACTTGGATGCTGTTGTTGACTGGAGTATAATACTTGGATACTACTGTTGACTGGAGTACAATACTTGGATACTGCTGTTGACTGGAGTACAATACTTGGATGCTGTTGTTGACTGGAGTATAATACTTGGATACTACTGTTGACTGGAGTACAATACTTGGATACTGCTGTTGACTGGAGTACAATACTTGGATACTGCTGTTGACTGGAGTACAATACTTGGATGCTGTTGTTGACTGGAGTATAATACTTGGATACTACTGTTGACTGGAGTACAATACTTGGACACTACTGTTGACTGGAGTATAATACTTGGATACTACTGTTGACTGGAGGACAATACTTGGATACTGCTGTTGACTGGAGCACAATACTTGAATACTGCTGTTGACTGGAGTACAACCAGTACTTGTATACTTGACATGATACATTTATATGTGTCATTCATTTGCTTGGTACAAACTCATGTCCATCACGTCTAGATGAGCATGAAAGTGGTGAAATTAAGTTTTTCATTCTTTCTCTATCATCTTGTTACATGTGAGTTGACAATTGTGTGAGTTGACTGTTTTGTGAGTTGACTGTTTTGTGAGCGACAATGTCCAGCATGAGGCCTGCTAGTTCTCAGGGAAAGTGGTATCCTCATGGCGATGAAAACAAACCTAAATACAAAATCTGGAGAAAACTTCTAAAGGTAATGTTGGGAATGTGTCATATTCTTTCTTGTTAAGGGATGATGATGTAATCCAGTGGTTGAGGGCTTTGCTCTGCTCGCCAAGGACCTGGTTCAGTTCCCCTTCGGTACAATCTGTAGAGCCCCGTCTTGGTGACCATCACTAAGAAAGGGCTAAGATATTGCACTTACTCACTACCCCTTAGTGATTCAATCTCATTAAAATCAGCTCTTAGTCCTCGCTGCCGCTAAACAAAGATCTGAGGACATCCTATTACAGGTCACGTCAGGCCGACCTTGCTCGAACTTTGACCGACCTATGGAATGACCAATCAGAAGGCAGCTTTTTCGTGCTTTACGGCTTTAATTTCAAATTGGCGACTACGCTTCAAAATATATTTTGACAAATTCTCGATTAAAAATTTGAAACCTGAACAAAAGAACATTCTGGAATGGGTATTAGATAGTGTAGATTGTATGGATTCAGTCGTTAAACCCGTAACTATCGTTCGGAATACCCGTGTTAAAGTTTTCGAGGATGCATGATTAGAAATCACATTCCGACTTTCACTTTCATGATCTGGTAAGCGACGCTCTGATGGGTCGGATGAAAGGTCGTTCTGACGTGACCCCTACTGGGATGTCCTCAGATCTTTGTTTAGCGGTAGTGAGAACTAAGGTCTGATTTTAATGAGATTGTTAAGGATGCTGAGTTACAGTGAGGCCCCAGCAACCGATGCTGGTTGTGAAGCTGTGAATTCCTGGATTGGGTGGTCACATTGTTGACAGAAATCTCCTTAAAATCAGATCTTTTACTCCAATACAAGCAATCATTCAGACCAGCATGTCTGATTTCTGTATCTTGAACTGAACTAAAATGTCCAGTTCCGAATGTAGATAATTAAGGATACACCATTATATTGTTGCAGATATTTTATACAACCTGTCTTTTTTTAGCTCCACAGCATCTACACCAAGGGTGTACCATCGAGGGAATATGTGTGTGCTGTGGGGGTAATATTTTATACAAATCAAAATTTCCAAATCAAGGTGGAAAGAAATGCAGCCGAATTGTTTCAGAAAGTTGACATCTGAATTGTTCAAGAACCCACGCATCTTTCATTTAGACTGGGCGGTGAATGTTCGCTCCTATGGAGGTGTCATCTGATTGTCACATGGACAGCAGACATGCTTTAGGCTCAGATTTTGATTTTGTATGATTTATGTCATCACTTAAACATTCCCAATATCCCTCTGAATTTCATCCACCCACTTTCACTATCAATAAATGTTACAAATCAGTCAGAATAATTTCATTTTGAACATTTCTGTCTTTTTTTTTTCCAGAAAAGTTTCAGTCCTCCCGGCAGTCCATCATCACTAAGAGACGGAAAATGTAAGTAAAATGAGTTGTGTTTCCTCCTGTTCGGTCTGATTGCCACAACCATTTGATGAATGTTGATTGAGGTTTTAATATGGCAAGCCTGTTAAGCAAGGTACAAAGAAAACTGTGAAGACCAAGGTTAGAATTGCTTTTCAGTAACTCATGGTCACTGACTTGGTTGTAGTCCTGCACCATGACCGTGGAATATATTTATTTTATGAAAAAATAATAATCTAGAAAAAACAAAAAGCAAGTCTAGCCAGCTCAAGCTAGCTCTATTCCAGCATAGGGAATTTTTTTTATTTTTAGAGTCAAGAAGGATATTGTGTAATATAAGATTTCAGAGACTAAATATTAGTCTAACTTGGTTGATTCATGTCATGATTTCCCAACTGTTAATCATCAGATTGTCTTGTACAGATTCAATTATTTACACACTGACATCAAAAAGTAATTATTTAGTATGTTTGTTTATAAACACTAGTTGCATTTTAAAAACATTTGTCCCTTACCTAACTCTAGTATGGCCGTTGGCAAAAATATTATTAATACCAGTAAATTAAGCCACATTAGACTAAGTGTTTTTTTATACACAGTCAGTGTTTTCACAGTCATTCTAGAAGTTGGTGAATAAATAAGAAAACATAACCTCTGTGGATAACAACTTCTGGTTTATTGCATTTAGCGACGTTCTGATGTAGATTCTTACACCATTATCAATACCACATGGTATTTATGCATGTGTGCTGTCGGCATATGGTACAAGAACATGTCAATATTTTGTCCACTGTGTCAAGTTGTGCATCAGTTGTACTGGTAACTGCTGGGCAGTGCTACAATCAATACACTTCGTATTTCATACTGGGCAGCCAGCTAGCCAGCCACTGCAACAGATTCCATGTCATTACTGCTGCACTGTGGCCAGTCTGATATGGTAATCACATGGCTGTGTTGTCACTGCTATTTATAGCTCCACTAGGGAACAGACCATTTTTTTGGAGGGTGGGAGGGATGTTTGTCATGGCTGTAATCAAACAGATAAAGGTCTCTGGTGATATCTATATTGCAACTTTTCCAGTTTATAGAACTGTAAACTCATTCCCTGATCATATCTGCTAAATGACTCATCTCATTGGGTGAGAACTGGCAATGTTTACAACAAGCACCCCTATCAAAAGATGGTTATGCCTCATGAATATTAATTATATGTAAATAAAGAGGAAGTATGATGCATTGTGGTACTAACCTTGAGGAAGTGTCTGTGTTGACAGTGAGGTAGATAATATTTTGCCCTAGTATTTTCCATCCAAACTGAGCCCTGGGGGCTAAGAAATCCTCCCAAAAACCCATGAGCACTGGTGGTGATTTAGACATGGATTGTCCTGTGTCATCTTCAGGTAGATTCTTGAGTTGAAGTGCTTGTCATTGCTGTTAATTGTGGCTGGAGCTTATCTTGCTTTCTCCAGTTGGAGCAAGATGCATTCTGCTGTTCAGTCACACCCTGAATGAAACATTTGTTAATTGATTAAAACTGTAACACATCTTTTTGCTTCTGACTAACAGCTTTCCTAACCAATTCTGCATGTTGTTCAGTCTGTGGCACAGTGTTAATGTAATATCTTCCTGAAATGTATATTAATGAGGTACCAAATGGATCGGTATAAATATACCCGACATTGCATGCCTCAACTCAACTGTCTATCTGTCCCTATATCATTATTTTCTGCTTCTCATTCTTGACATTCCTTTTGTAGCTTTTTGTCATTAGTTCATATGTGGGATTTTTTTTAATGTGATTATTAATTTATGTATTGTCTATGAATTGACTTTATATAAATGGTTGATATTTAAAGGATAGGAATAGGATGTCTGATCAAATACGAAATTATGCTGCATACATTGTTGGATCTTGATGTCTGTAGCCAGAATAACATACGGCTTCCATTATAGTCACTGTCAAAAGAAGCAAAAATAAAACCCTTCTTGATGGTCTAGCTGTTATCTAACATGAGAGTAAGATATGATAATGCATCAGCAGACAGATATGCATTCTTTTTTTGTGTGAAAGATGTGAAATTAGGAGGTGTGATTTTTTGCTGGAATATATTGATGAAAGCATTGTAAAACCATACACACTCACTCACACACCCACATTTAGCAATTCTCAGTTTGGTCAGGTTTAGCCATATGATGTCACAGTGCTTCATTGTTGAGAAAAAGTATGATATGACATCATCCATTGTTCATGACATCACAATGATTACATTTCCTAATCTGGACTCGTTCCACAAAGCCATCTTAGCGCTATAAAGGTGATTGTAGCACCCATACTTCACACTGGCTTTTGAATGTCGTAGCGTTAAGATTGCTTTGTGTGACAGTGCCCTGAACACTAGGCTGCCTTCTGTGAAGTTTGTCTGTAAGGTTGACATTTCAAATGCTTTTTCTTCATTATCTCTCTTATAATATCAATGAGTAATATATGGAATAGTTTACTCAGAACAAGGATTTGTGGTTCATCTGTCCCTCTTGAATGAATGGAAAGTTCCTCACTAAAGGTTCATGACAAACATAATCATTCACTTGGCATAGATAATCTGTGATTCCTCTTAGCTCGTTGGTTATCCCCCAATTATGATGTAAGAAGAAATCAATGCTACCACTGTTGTTTTATGGCACATATGTTTAAAAATTATTATCTACCAAGATAGCAGAGCAACACAACACAACACAACATCTGGTTGTGTTTCCTAGCTAATGCCCAATCAGAAATTAGTTTAATTGGGCAATGTCAAGGGACCATTTGATTGTCGCCAGTATTCCAAACACTGCATTATAAAGGAATTGAATAAGTAACATAAGTATACAAAGTATAGTGTTGCATAAGGAACATTGAATATGTATAAACATTTGAGCCCTGTCTGAAGTATTTGTACCCATACAACCATGGAAAATGCGTGCATATCAATAGTTCTTTGGCCTGCTTCTGCAGTGTTCGTAGACTAACAAATAGTCTATGAAATCATTTAATACACAATACATTTCCTTCCTTTGTGTGTGGAATAGAGCTGGCTGGGCTATATCTATAATCTATATAGGTCTTGGTTTCATAAAATACATGTATTTCACAGTCTTAGTGCAAGGCTACTGTGTTCTTTGTATTGGGGTCTTTAAGGTTTGAATCTTTTAATCACTATATCCTTTCTCTTGTAATGTAAGGGCTCTATGAGACTGTGTTGAAGAGGTATGTCTTTGATTTGGCCCTGTGGTGGTGATCTGAAGGTCTAACACTAAGCTTCTCACATGAGTGAACACGTATGAACATTGATCGCCACTGACAGGTTGGTACTGTTCATGGCTGTAGACACACTCTGGGGGCAGTGACGACAACTGAACGTACACACTGAAGGTAAAATCTGTATGTAAGTAACAACAAAATACACACACTTCCATGATGAATATTACTAGTTGGGGTTAGAAATTCATTTTATTTCCCAGTAGTCCATAATGATCTGTTTCTGAGTTGCCATCTACATAACAGTAAAACTGGCTTTTCACAAGGAAATGTCACCAGTCCTTTCTCTATTGCACTAGTCTCAGATTGCAAATAGTCGCTCTTTTCCAACCCATGAATTGTTGTTCAGATGTGTCTTTGATTGTGTGTTGTTGAACAACATGGGAGGTAGCTGTTGGATGACTGTCACACTTGTAGCCTTGCTCCAACGCTGTACTAAAGAATAAGTCCTTGGGTGTATACTGTATAGTAATTCTTTCCTTATAATAGGCAAGTCTAGATAAGCACCCAGTTTAAGGACACCAGTCTTTTATAGGGACAACTTGTTCATATTATTTTTATAATCTAGAAATTGATTTAAACTAATATTTTTTTCCTTAGAGACTTGTGCAAGTCTATCACACCTGTGTCAGCTGCCGTTTTGGCGATCATCATGGTGGGCATAGGAATGGCTGTTGTCTTTTTGTCAGATATTGCTCATTAGCCGAATGAACAGAAAGTGGTTGGAAATATTCAGGTTGTCATAATCAAGGGTAGGCACATCAACTTGTCCGTAAGTCTGAAACAAGTGAAAAGCTATACTGGCTGGCGACCAATTATCGCCAAGGACCAATTATTGCCAACTCATCGTTATAAAGCACACATGAACTCATAATAATAACAAATATACATTGAGTTTGAAAATTGGGATTGATTCATGGAGTTGGGACTTGTTCATGCAGTTTGGACGAGGTCATGGAGTTTGGAGTCATGGTAATATTATAAATTGATTGTATTAAACTGTCAGTTTTGTCCATATTGTTAGGATAAAAAAACAACAAATGCATAAATAGTAATATCATTGGCAGTACCCTGTTGTGTGATACATACTGTTTATGATTTATAGAATTGGCAGATTATATTTAACAGATTAAGGTCCTTGTTTTGCTGAAACTTTGACTTTCATGTTAAAGCTGTAATTTGGACGACAGCGTCTTTTAGCTATTATATTAGATTGTTATTTAGTGCTGCAGTCGGCAATATACGATGGTGGCCAATAAATAAGCAAGACTGGACTAGACAAATCAGTGATGAATATTGTGAGCAACGACCAGCAAGGGTTGCTGGTGACATGTTCCTACCGAGAATCTTCACAGGGATAATTTTAACAGTTAAAGTAATGAAAGTTGGAAGAGGTTTTCAAATCTAAGAAATGCATATTTTATTCAAAAATTATTATTATTAATAATAATGAATCTAATTTATGAGTTTGGTACTTTAGGTAATGGCATGAGATATATGTATTTCTTGGTTTTTTTTATAGTTTTTAAAAAGTTTTTATTGATATTCGTACCTGTAACATACTCACATAAAAAATGTATCAACAAAAAGCAGGTATTCCCAAGATATCACATTGGATACCCAGCCTTGCTCAATGTTGCTGGAGCAGATTGTTTCACTCACCTATGATGAGCCAGAAACCACTGAGAATTTTCAGAATGTTTGATAATGAAAACCCCATCTGCCATAAGATTAGAAAAGCAGCTCAGCGGGGATGAAATTGGTTTGTTGTTGTTCACGTGTGATCTCAGGATCCAGGTTGTTCAGGTGTATTTGAGGCTGCAGTTTCCAGGAGATGTGGTAGACAGCAGTCTCTGGGAGATGGGGGTTGAGTATATATATGCACTGCCAACTGACCGATTTCTTTACCGGGCCACTCTGACTTAGCCCTAGAATGGAGAATATCCAGAACATCTTCACGATAAGAGTTCAGTGTTTTTGCATCATACTCCCGTGTGTTGGGTAATTGCAAACACTAATGCAATGGAGTTTCTAAAATCATGTGAGTATTGATGCTTGAGAGACGGTTATGTTAAACATGAATGTCAAGGGGTCCCAGTCGTATTGTTAAATGTAATGTTTGAGGGAGTCCCTGGATTAATATACTATGGGATCATACCTGGGGACACCTTCATTTCGAACATTAGTTATGTTTTTGTATAAGTTATGTGAACCACAAGTTGAAAGTGGTAAACTCCCTGCAAATATTGTTGCAGTGTTTCTGCCAAGTGGTAATATACTTTAGTCATAGCTCAGGAATTCATGATCAGTTTTTCAGAGATTGCTCTGAAGCTGTTTACAGCAGGGATTCAGGAGGAGGATTGGTTTAATGGTTGCCAGTTTTAGACGTGCTTCTTTGGTGGGATTGCTGATGGTTGTGTTCAAGGTAGTTTTGTTTGTTGTTTAACACCACACTCAGAAATTCCAGCTTTATGATGGCGCTATGTAAATAATCAGCTCTGGACTAGATAATCCAGTGATTGATATCATAAGCATCGATCCACAGAATTGGGATACAATGACATGCATCAACCAAGACACCGAGCCTGACAAACCAATAAGGAAGAAGCATCATTGTATTTGAAACAATGTTGCAAAGCCACTGAATTTAAGAAAATGAGGACTTAAAAAAAAATCCCATTTTTTCACAAAATATAGATTTATTATTTTCAGTTTGCCCACCAAAGCCACCTAGTGTGGAATTCCAGATAAATCCCTGTTGTATAATAGTTTGAAGATGTAAGAATGTTGACAAAGACAGTAAAGTTAGAGTACTATAGTGCCAAGCCCTCATTAAATGTTAAACCTGGTACAGACGATTTTGCACCACAGTTGAATGTGTAACAGTTACAAATCAATGCCCGTCAGAGACACGCTATCATTTGTAAACATTAGGGGCACGAGTAAGGTGCTGCAATTCAGCTTTCAGAGTTAAGTCTCTAAGGCATGTCAGAAACCTATGTTGATGGGTTTGAATCCAGGCTCATCTGGATTATGTTTCTAGGTTTGTCAGCACCATATGAGTGCTCACAGGGTCCACTAATAGAGCAAATGTCTAAGACATGCATCATTGGGCAAACTGACACGCTGGGATATATATTACTGAAACTCTGTTCCAATCAGTGTCACAGCGTTCAGTCAGTCTGTACTGCCATATGCGTAAGTCCGTATAGACACCATTGTAAGGAACATGCAAATGTACACACAATAGAAGTTTCATGCCATGAAAGATTATTGTGAAAGTATCGGGTGTTCTTTCTTTTGCTTGTTGTTTACGCCACAACCAGCAAGTTTCCAGTTATATGACGGCAGTCTGTAAATAATCGAGTCAGGATCAGATGGTCCAGTGATTGATATCATGAGCATCGATCGACGCAATTGGGATACGATGACATGCATCAACCAAGTCAGTGAGTCTGACCATCTGATCCTGTCAGTCGCCTCTTTTAACAAGCATAGTCGCCTTTTACAACAAGCATGGGTTGCTGAAGACCTATTATGACCCGGATCTTCATGGGTCAGGTGTTCTTTAGCTTCTTTGAGTAGTATATATGAGTTATTCAGCTTAGCTGCACATGATAGATGTGGTATGGCTGGAAGAGGTGTACTCAGTAACCTATGCTTTGTTTGTTTGTTGTTTAACGCCACATTCAGCAATATTCCAGCTATATGACGGCGCTATGTAGATAACAGTCTCAACTAGATAATCCAGTGATTAATATCATCAGCATCGATCAACACAATTGGGATACGATGACATGCATCAACCAAGTCAGTAAGCTTGATCACCTGATCTTACGACAAGCATAGTTGCCTCTTTGGACAAGCATGGATTGCTGAAGAATTATTCTAACCCGGATCATCATGGGTCAGTAACCTATGGATGAAGAGGTAACTAGTTGGGTGGATGGTCAGACTCAGTGACTTGCGCCCATCACACTGGTTTGTCCAGTCCAGACTGGATAATTTTACCAGCTACTCCCATCTAGCAAGAATATTATAGTTCTGTGTGTGGCTTTTGACAATGGACAAAATCTTGTAGCCATAATACAAATGTGATAAGGTCTCCATGGCAACTATTCAATATAAACAATTACAGTGATTTGATCTCTTGGTGCTAATACCAATTAAACATAGATCAGTGGACATGATCTCTACTTATTATAGCTAATGCAGAGCTGTTCTCTTCAGGAATGTTACAAATCCATTTGTTTTCATGGCTGTGCTTAAGAAAAAGTAGTGTTATGTGGGAGTATTTTTATGTTGAACTTATTAAATGATAATGCATGGAAAATGTATCAAATTATTACAGATCAAAGAGGCATAAAAGCACAGCAGTATAATTAGTACTGAATTCATTCCTAAAATTAATGTTTATAAGCTGTAAGTTCAAATATGTATATGAATTCTTTACTTTTATAGTCACAAGATTTGAATCAGATTTATATGTTTCAAGGGAGGTAACTCTGGATGGTATGTTATGACAGTAATCTGATGAATTACCTCAAAAGTTAGGGAAGTTGCAGTAAAATGATCTTGAATCTTTATGATAAATAATTATTTTTGGGTGTCTATTCTTGAGCCTGTCTTCATAATGTCAACTGTTCTGAAAATGTATCTCTGTAACAGGTCCATTGGGTAGCAAAGTGGTAAAAGCGTTCACACTGCAAGAAGATCTGGGTTTAAATCCTTGTCCTCTGTAACTACAGTGTGGCATATTAATGGGGGCTTATGGGTAGTGAATAAAATGGGGTATATTAGAAAATCAAGTGTATTTTATATGATGCCTTAACCTCCAGTGTTTTTAACATTTCACTACGAAAATGGCATTTAGATATGGGGGCATTTAGATATTACTTCCCAGTGCTTAGATCAGCATAATGTCATGCGGTCACATGAAACAAAAAATGAGATTAAATTAGGCATATGGGTGCATTTGATTGGAACAGTGTTTTGCCCGACATTTTATAACATTATTGCAGCATTTGGATCACAAAGATTGTCTTCTTTGAGGGTCTCAATCATGGGAGGAGTCACAAATAGGTAGTCAGTAAAGTTTGGGGTCTTTAGTCAGTAGACATTGTTTTTACGGAGTAGTCGGTTAAAAAAAAGCCCACACACATATTGGACTAGCTGTCAAGTTCAATCCAAAATGTGAAATCATGTCTGCAAATGTGGATCGTCAGCCTGTAGGGGAACATGAAGACAGCAGGTTCCACTTTCGTTTCATTACTGCAGTTCGTGTTTTGCAAATACCTGACTGGTTTTATTGTGTCATTAGTTCCAGTTGGTACAACTTTTACGAGGTATTATCATGATTTGGATGGAGTAAAAAAATGTATGGACATTGCATGTTAATTTTTTATGATACAAATTTTATTCCTTACATTTACGATTTTAGCTGTTTTAAACAAAACACTTATACCCCATCAAGACCCTCTTCTCTGCACAGAGTTTGACACTGTTGATGCCTTGCACCAGGTTTCTTGTGCTTGATGATGCTTGGATTGAAGTCATTATTGGAATTGATTCCTGTACAAAGAGATTATTGATCTGTTTGTGTAGTGCTGTGTATGTAGTGGTCTGGTGTTGGTAGGTAGATCAGTTAGGTGGGCTCAGTCCAGCCGTGATCTGTTTGTGTAGTGCTGTGTATGTAGTGGTCTGGTGTTGGTAGGTAGATCAGTTAGATGGGCTCAGTCCGGCCGTGATCTGTTTGTGTAGTGCTGTGTATGTAGTGGTCTGGTGTTGGTAGGTAGATCAGTTAGATGGGCTCAGTCCGGCCGTGATCTGTTTGTGTAGTGCTGTGTATGTTGTGGTCTTGTGTTGGTAGGTAGATCAGTTAGGTGGGCTCAGTCCGGCCGTGATCGGACATAACATTCTACAGAGCTGCCATCAACATTTCACTTGAGAATCAAGTCATAGTCGAGACATACTGCAGTCTGTGACTTTAACTAACCCCTTGTATGAGGCCCAACTTACATTTTGCTTGTTCTGTGCTCAGTAAATGATATACATATACCAAAACAGGCAGTCATGGGAGCTAGCGGCAAATGTGTTTATGATGGGTACATGGTGCACAATGTTGAAATAACAAAAGATCAAGGTGGTTTTCTTATCTTAAAGGAAAAAATAAATGCAGAAAAATATTCATTAATCAGCTCCCGGAATTATTATTTCCTGTTGATTTGGAAAAAGAAATTGTTTCTGTCTTGGTTGTTGTTTTTTCGGTACAGGACATGTTTAACATGTTTAAGTCATTTCCTATTTGCTGTGAATCTTTGTATTCACCTCAGGCACTTGCTGAACTGCGTATTTAATTTATTTTGATGGATGGTTATTAAAGAGGCATATTTGTCCCATGTGTCAGCCGTTGGTATTGGCCTGAATATTTGTGTACTCGATCATGATGTGGTTTACATATTTGTCTGATGCATATGTCCAATGCTGATGCTTGTATACAGTGCAGGCTGGGGAGAAACAGCTAGACTGACGCAGTAGAAAATTGTACATATACAGTGTGAGAAAAGATAGGCCCTGTCTCATTCTGTGACTCGTCATACTTTACCACAGGGATCATTTTGTTGGCATGACAACCTGATCACAGAGTATTGTAGACTAATAATTATCCTGTCTGCTCAATAGTTACCTAGAGATTTGTTGGAAGAAAAGCAGGGAGTCGGTACATGTACATGAACTTTCCTATTAATGATGCCCACCTGGTATATGCAGTATTGAGGCAGTTCATAAATACCTTATGGAACAACTAGATAATTGCCCATAATGACATAGTTTCATCCTTATTCAGTCCCTTTAATAAATGATTTGTAACTTAAGACCCTAGTCTGTCTCTCAGTCCTTGAACCATATTATTTTCCCTTCTGTCCAGCCCTTTCTGTAATGCAGAAGCCCTAAATGAATCAAGTCTAGATTTTCCTCGAATCTCCCATCTCTTTGACTCCTTTTCAATTTATATGGAGTTATTTGTTTCTATCCAAATTATATATTTTCAGAGACTAAGCATTAGTCTAGTAAGACTCTTTTGACAACAATTTGTTCAGGCTCAATGGACGATGCTTGTTGCATGTTGTCAGAAAATATCTTCTTTTGCAGCCGATTTAGAGAACATCTTGTGTACGCCACATAGAACATTTGGTACAGGCTTAGTAGACGAGGTCTTGCACTGGCCATACAGACAACATCTTGTGTACATGGCATACAACAGTTTTTACATGGTCGATAGACGACGTCATATTGTCAGCATCTAAGTGTTATGCAAGCCATATACGCATCTTGTCTAGGCCACATTGATAACATTTTGATCAAGCCCTACAGACAACATCTTGTGCAGGCTTGATAGAAGTCAGTTTATGGATTCATTAAAGTGTGGACTGTATGTGTTCGATAAAAAGGTTTGACCAGCAGTGTTGTTGAACCAGACGAATCTAATGCAGAATTAAATGAATAGCCAGCTTCACAGTGATTAATCAGTCTGTCTGCCAACAGCTATTTGTATTGGAAAAGTAGAGTTTATATGTGGTTAGTTGATCCAGTGGAACAGCTTTACGTCCAGTTGATATCTTTGGTTTGATGATCTGTTCATAACAAAGACCTTCCTTTGTAATGAAGTCCACAAATAGATTCGTTCTGTGTTTATGAATTAGTGCGAGAATTTTGAAAGAAAGTCAAGGAGTTCTTGTCGTAACCCTAATGTTAAAAATGTTTATTTTTTATAGGGTCCAGTGTTAAAATAATCTAGATGCAAACCTCAAGGTCCCCATAACCTTCCTTAGCGATGCCAACCATTAACATTTAAATCCTCTCAGAGGGAGGGGGTGGAATGTTTTTGAAAAATATACTTTATTGCTTAAATACTTGGGGGAAAATGTACTTTAGCCTCAAATATTACCCTCCACCCAAAATAATTTTTCCATTTATATGTCCAGTGAAGAGAAATAGTTTTTTATGTTTCAAAGCAGAAACCAACTTCTGTCTCTAAAAATAATCCCAGCCGACCTCCACAGTCCAGGATATGGAATGGTGGAAGACTAATTTGTAACACTGGCAAACAAATGTGTTTTCGGCCTGTGTTTGTTATGAATGTCTGGGTAACCTTCAGTAGGTGGACTGGTTACCTCATAGAGAAGGTGTGCAGGGTTCCAGGGAGGGCACTTGCAGGAGGCTTGTCGTCATGACAACCACAACAGGCAGGTGCGATGCCCACCATGTTGTATTTTGAGGGTGTGACAGGATATTTACAGCAACCAACAGCACTTGGAACAAGATAGCAAGACTTTTTTTCTGAATAACTCCCACTTTAAAACAATTTTTTTTTTTTTACACTATACTGACACAAATATTCCAACAATATTTCTTTTCTCTCCATGTTCCACAATTTACCTTGATTTAAAAATTACTGGTCCTGATTAATCTGATTAATGTTTATTAGTATTTGTCCAGTGGACCAGCGTATTAGTTGAACCCTGGAGTGTAGTGTTTGGGATACTGAAGCTTTGGTGTTGGTTGTTGGGGACAGTAGCTACAAGGATGATGGTGGATCAATGGCAGATCAAAGTAACCACATCCAGCACACAGCACCCACTGCACAGGAAGGGCGTGTTGCAGGAGCATGTGAACACATTTTTTGTTGACAAGCTGCTCTGATTTGACTTGAATATGAAACACCTGTTGGAATATAACAGACTCCAGGCATTTGGTTGAGGGGATGCACACAATCCAAGTGCTGAAGAGAGGAGGACAAGTGTGTCTGCAAACAGTGAGGGAAAGATTGGGGCGGGGATCTGGATCTACTCTTGATATCAGAGTTCAGTTTTGGGAGATATCAGTGGATATTTAACACTTGCGAAAGGAAGTGTTAAACTTAAAGTCACATCTTCCCCTTAGTTGTTGCTATGCAGAAACCATGGGACAACATCACATTGTACATGCAACACATTACAAGACAATAAACTGACAATAACGTGATCACGCATGACAATCAGACAGATTTACACAGCACTTTACACATCACAAATCTTGCTTTGTCAGCTGTTTACATTTTTGTTGATAAGTTGTTGATTACTTTCGTTAAACATATGTGAGAATGATAGATTATGGTTACTATTATGAGAATCTGATTGAAAATGTAACTTACATAGTGTGTCCACATGGTTAGTGTACCCAGCCATGCTTGAAGATCCAAAATTAACTTTACACAAGATTGTTGCTTCACGTTCATGCTCCTTTATCATTGGTCATTTCACAAAGTTGACATTCTTTATGCAAATCAGATGATCATGTGACCAGCCACAGATGAACTGAGGTCACAGGTTTCCGTAAGAATATAAATGGTGAGATGTGTGTATGGCCCACACTGTTGCTACATTGGACTGGCTGAGCTCGCTGGGCTCCGCTCACTGACAGCATTGACTGCTCTTCATAGCCTCAGTGCAAACTCTGTGCACTGCTAAGACTGACTAGAGGTTGTACAGTTGTACTTCTTGTTTGCAACCTTCTGAAGCCTGCCTGGCACTCACCTGCACCAGTAGTGAACTGACTTAGGGTCTGTTTGAGTTGACAGTGTCAGATCTTGTCACCATCATGAGCAAACGCAAGAGGAAGTTGAGCCTCCGGCTCCGAATTCCTAACAGTAAGTTTTGTAAAACTATTGTTCGTTTGTTTACATCTATCTGGGTCAGCTTCAAGGCCATATCATTTTGGAATGTTTTCATCCAAGAGGCTACCTCAATCTCTCCTTGCTTTCGGTGTTTCCACCATCACTTGGTGTTCCTGATCAATAGATTTAGAGGATAGCCTTGATCATGTTGATATGGTGTTATGAGCTCATGCCATGTGTTACTGGCTTCATATCGCTGATTAACAAGCTTTGAGTATTTGCAGGAGTTATATCATTAATTGCACTCACAGATATTATCTGGAAACGAAAATTCAGCAAAGCCTACTCGGCATGCTTTATTACAGAGAAAATGGAGGGGTTGATTCATATTCACAGTGTTATAATCATTTATTTAATCGATTATTGGTTGGTCTCGATTTTCAACGAGGTATTGATCAGAAACTGGGTGCTTGATTATTTTTCCAATAATGTGAGTTCGTTTTGATGAATTTCTAGGGAAAATGAATTAAGAATATCAATCATGTGCAAAGCATCAAAAGTCTGATAACAAAGTTGGATGAATGTTGCAATTAAAGTGTTGCACAGTGGTTGTGTTTCTGCTGCTAAGGTCAGACTATTTTTTAAAACTTGGTTTACGAATCTGTCAACTTTCAAAAATTGAAATGTGAAAATGAACGAAAAGCAGTTCGTTTGTTTTTTCTGCTGACCAAAAATAAAATGATGTTAAAAAAATCACTAATTGCATTAAACAGCCGAGACATTTTCCCCTATTCCTTCTGCCTCTACTTTTATCTTCTACCAACTTAAGACTGTTTTGAGAAAATCAAAAAGAATATTTGAAAGTGAAATGTGTTGTTATTTCCTTTTCAACCTACCTAAACTCTTGAACCAAATGTGTGTAGGCAAAATAACCCATTAGTATGGACTCAGACTATGAACATGATGAAAAGTGTTGATTTGGGGTGAAATATCTGATTCTCATATCAATATTTCATGTGATGTGTTGCAGGAGGTAGATGTCAGCAATCATTACATGTGACACAACAGCTGGTGTGGTGACTTACGTGATTTATGTCCGACCCCAACCAGTCCATTGAGGTTAACTGTGCCAGACAGAAAACAAAACGCTTCCACTAACCACATACTTGTCAAGTTAACCACTCTTCACAGACTTGGATAAATACAGTATCTGTTGACAGAGACAGTGTAGGGATTCGGTAATGTAATATTCATAGGTCTGTGGGCTTCAAACTTGCTGGGTTTGATTAAACGTTCTACGCTGACAGTGTTTAAATTATGCATGGTGCTGGGGAGTCCATAATAGGAATAGGTTATTAGGAAGGAATCAAATTGTAATTTGTATACAAATATTTACACAGATCTGTGTTATTTGTATAAATCAGGGTATTAGTTACTTTAAGGTATATGTTTGGAAACAAGTTAAGCACCACTCCTCCATTATGTATTCCCAACTTCACGTATCTCTTCTACATATGACCTTGACCTTATTTTGATAAATGCGTGTACCCCCAAATCTGATTTGGAATAGGTCATAGGCAACCCATGCTTGTCGTAAGAGGAGACCAGTGTAATGGGTGGTCAGACTCCCAATTGCGGAGATCGAATGATCAATCACTAGATTGGCTGGTTGCAGACAGCCATCATAAAAGTGGAATATTGCTGAGTGCTGCGTTAAACAACAAACAAACAATAAGTACCAAATAAATGTCATAAATACCTGCTGAGAAGTTGGTACTAGAACACCCTATAAACGTCTGTGTAGATCCAGAGTAGAAGTGGTCTTCAGCAACCCATGCTTGTCGTAAAAGGCAACCAACGGGATCTGGTGGTCAGACTCGCTGATTTTGTTGATGCATGTCATCATATCCCAATTGTGTGGATTGATTCTCATGATGTCAATCACTGGATTGTCTGGTCCAGACTCGATTATTTACAGACCGCCGTCATATACGGTAGTTGAAATATTGCTGAGTATGGCCATAAACAACAAACAAGAAATAAATGGCTATTTTATATGGAAATATATAGTAAGAGGTGCTTTGATCTTTGTTCTCGGTGTATGTACATAATTTGTACCATGGTATACTTGTGTAGCAGGGCGTGGAGTCATCCCATAGATGACAGCAGTACCTTGTCAGCTTGCTAGCTTGGTTAATCTCTTTAATTGGTCTTGTGAACAAGGCATCTGACCTCAGATCAGGTCTGTAAATATGTCACGTTAATCGGAAATTTTATGGTCGCTACATTGTCGCTGAACGTTTGAGTAAAATGGAAAATACAGTATCCTAGGACTCGGCCAGGGACTACCTTCTGTTGACAGGGAGGTATATAGCTTGGTGTAGTGTCATCCCACAGGTGACATCGTTAACTCGTCTGACGGGGTTAAAGTCTTTGGTCATGTGGACAAGGCATCTAACACCAAAACAGGAGGCCTGTGGTTTGAATCCTATCACAAGACTGTGTAATTTGATGGCTGTTATCTTTGACTGCAGCAATCCTATACAGTTTGTTATAGGTGATTCATTTCCTGGGATGGTTTCCAATTTTGTGTCATATTAAGGGAGATTTGAATGTTTTCTGTGATTTATGGTTATAAATAAGGGAATTTTTCAATCTACTGTCAGAATGTATTACATGAGATTTGATATTTTCCAAAAGTGATCCAATATATTTGAAACCTAAAACAGCCATTTATCACTTTGAAGCTGTGCAATGTCAAATTATTGTAATTAATTTTAATCAGTGATGGTAAGTAAATGTGTAAAAGTTGAAAGACAGCATGGATAGTTTGTCATAATGCCATCAATATGACAATATGGGTTGATAACATACCACGCTGAGAGTAATTTATCAACATATATTGATGAATAATCGCAGAGTGAGTGTCTAGCTTGTCATTGTGCCATCAATATGACGTGATCAAATATTGTCAGCTAGTAATTCGATCATGCAGTTCTGTTGGCGTAGATACACACAGTTATCATTTTTCCTTGTACATGATTGTATCACCTATCATTAGGGACCGACCATTTGATTTCGAGGGGGGAGGGGAGGGGAGGGGATTTTGTACTGAGATTATATATTTGTTCAGCTTCACCTACAAAACCACTAAACATTTTTTTATGTTTAAAACTATGATCCTTATATTTATTAAAGAAAAAGACCTTGCAACAATGTAATATTTGAGGCAGGCAATATCTTTTTTTTCCAACAGGCTGAAGGATAGTTTGGTTGTTTTTTTTAAATTTCAGGGACAATTCATTGTTTTCGATAGAATCCGATTTAGCAATGTATTGCAGTGTTTATGTCACTTAAAGCAATAATCGTGATACAGTTATTGAGTATCATTCTAGAAACATTATAGCTGCAATATACGCCAGGGATCTGTTTGTATGTGACAGAATGTATGTATATGTCAGTGTTGATGGGATCTACGTGATCAAGCTGTCAGTCACGGGGGTAGCATGACTGAACAGGGAGGCTTAATGGCCAGGAAGTCAAAAATACTTGGCCAGGTGCATTCGCACTGACAATCATGGATGGGTGGGTAAGTGAGTGGATAATGAGCGAGTGGATGTATGTGTTGGTGTGTGAGCGAGTGGATGGACGGGTGAGCGAGTGTATGGATGGGTGAGCGAGTGGATGGATGGGTGAACGAGTGGATGCATGGGTGAGCGAGTGGATGGATGGGTGAGCGAGTGGATGGATGTGTGGGTGTGTGAGCGGGTGTGAGCGAGTGGATGGATGGGTGAGCGAGTGGATGCATGGGTGAGCGAGTGGATGGATGGGTGAGCGAGTGGATGGATGTGTGGGTGTGAGCGAGTAGATGGGTGGATGAGCGAGTGGATGGATGGGTGGGTGGGTGTGAGCGAGTGGATGGACGGGTGAGCGAGTGTATGGACGGGTGAGCGAGTGTATGGATGGGTGAGCGAGTGGATGGGTGGGTGAGCGAGTGGATGCATGGGTGAGCGAGCGAATGGATGGGTGAGCGAGTGGAAGGATGGGTGAGCGAATGGATGGGTGAGCGAGTGTATGGATGGGTGAGCGAGTGGATGGATGTGTGGCAGTGAGCGAGTAGATGGGTGGGTGAGCGAGTGGATGGATGGGTGGGTGGGTGTGTGAGCGAGTGGATGGACGGGTGAGCGAGTGGATGGATGGGTGAGCGAGTGGATGGGTGGGTGAGCGAGTGGATGCATGGGTGAGCGAGTGGATGGATGGGTGAGCGAGTGGATGGATGGGTGAGCGAGATGAAGGATGGGTTGGTGTGTGATCGAGTGGATGGATGGGTGAGCGAGCGAGTGGATGGATGGGTGGGTGTGTGAGCGAGTGGATGGATGGGTGAGTGAGTGGATGGATTGGTGAGCGAGTGGATGGATGCGTGGGTGTATGAGCGAGTGGATGGATGGGTGAGCGAGTGTATGTATTGGTGAGCGAGTGGATGCATGGGTGAGCGAGCGAATGGATGGGTGAGCGAGTGGAAGGATGGGTTGGTGGGTGGGTATGTGAGTGAGTGGATGGGTGAGCGAGTGGAAGGATGGGTTGGTGGGTGGGTATGTGAGTGAGTGGATGGGTGAGCGAGTGCATGGATGGGTGAGTGAGTGGATGAATTGGTGAGCGAGTGGATGGATTGGTTAGCGAGTGGATGGAT